TCACAGCACACCTTGCTTTTCAGACCGATGAGCTTTGTAAAAATAGACGCGTTTCAGAAAGGCGGGGCATAGAGGACAAACAATAAATGTACAGTATGTGGAAAATAATGTGTTTTTTGAACCTTAAACCGCATAAACATTTCATTACACCACAAATACACAAAATAATGTTCTTTTTAGCAACATCATATGACCCCTTAAATAGGCTTGCTAACCAGCAAACAGAAGAATAAACTGCTATTTAAGCAACATCTCTTGCACTGACTGAAACTCATTTAGCTTTTTTGCATTCGAGTCTGTTGCATATACAAACTTCATATTGTAACAATAAATAAATCATTGCTATAATAAGACGATGCAAATAAAATTTGTGACTAAGATTGAAACATTCAGATAAATGGTGTGACAGCAGACGGGGAGAATATGGGAGGAAGAATGAATTAGTTGACATAGAAAATGAGATGGATGAGGGACGGGTAACAGAGGGGGAGGAGAACAGAGAACAGAATGCACCCGTCTCCGTGTGATCTCGCATGCCCCGTGAATAAAAACCTTGGGAAAAGCAATTAAACACCAAACAAGGATACATGACTGCAGCTAGTCACATTGATGTTAATGGATTATCTGGATAATAAATGTGCCCATAGCAGGGCTACTCATGAATTAATCACAACCAATACGTGAAAGCAAACAGAAACAGCCTAGTTTTACTAATGTCTCCCGCTGCCTAGCAACGTCTCAGCCACAATGTGCACATCAGCACATCACCATCACTCAAAATCCCAGCCAAATGTATCTGATTACAGAAGACACATAAAAGACATGTAAACATGCACGACAAACATAATGCTGAGGCATATAAAAGGACAGCTTACTTCTTATCAATAGATACAAAACCATTGGGGGGGTCAGACTTAGAACAGACATTCCTCAAACACATGTGTTTGAGAGAAACTTTGATTTTGGGACAAGACGACGATAAAGTGAGAGTCTTGAGATACAAAGATATGGCTACGGCGAGTGAAACAGTTTAATACTGGATGAGAAATGGACTCTGGAGGGAGAAAAAAAGAATGTGATTGACAACAGAGGCAATTGACATGGCATAGTATGCACAGACAAGTGCAAGGACGGTAGATACAGCGAGTTAAAGAAGTGATAGTTCTCCCTCTCTCTCATCCCCTTTACTGCCGTCACCACAGCAACATGCCTGGAGGGGACACAAGAGAGGCAGCATCCCTGACAAAAACAACAGAGAACGAAAGAAAGAAAGGAAGAAAGAAATAAAAAGAAAGAAAGAGAAAGAAAGAAAGGAACGGGGAAGAGTGATGCTGGGAATGACAATAGGCCGACATACGAGACGAGAGAAAGAGAATAGTGCAATTAGTCATACATCACTGGTTCAAATGTATAAACCTAGAGGTTTAAAGACACTGAATGATGTGCACAGAAATTCAATTTTTGTATGATGGCAATAACTTTTGGTAAAGTCTAAATCTATAATATATTAAAGTAGGACTACACAATGTATACACATGTGCATTGCTACCTAGTCAGTAAAAGACTTTAGACTACGGGACAAAAGTTTGGAATAATTAAGATTTTTTTTATTTTATTTTTTGGTCAGTCTCTTATGCTCACCTAAGGTGAATGTATTTTATAAAAAAAATACAGTAAAATAGTAATAGTGTGAAATATTATTGTAATTTAAAAGAACTGTTTTCTATTTGAAAACATTTTAAAATGTAATTTATTCTTGTGAAATCATTCCATTATGCTGATTTGGTGGTCAGTTACTGTTGTTTATTATTGGTGCTCAGTTATTAATAATGGATCTTATTAATTTCTGTGTTAAAAACAGCTTTGCTGCTTAATATTTTTGCATCTTTTATTTGAAATAGAAATCTGTTGTAGAATTATAAATGCCTTTACAATCCCTTTTGATGAGTTTATGCGTTCTTGTTGAATAAAATTTTTTTTATTCAACCTAAAATTTTAAATGGTCGTGCATCACGGTTAAAAATATTAAGCAGCACAACTCTTTTCAACATTGATAATAATAAGAAATGTTTCTTGAGCAGCAAAATTAGAATGATTTCTGAAGGATCATGTGACACTGAAGACTGGAGTAATGACGCTAAAAATTGAGCTTTGCAGTAGCAGGAATTCATTATATTTTAAAATATATTTAAATAGAAAACACATTTTTTAAATTGTAATAATATTTCACAATGTACTTTTTACAGCATTTTTGTTCAAATAAATGCAACCAAAGTGAGCATAAAGAGTTAATTATTCAATAAAAACGTACTTATTCCAATTTTTTGACAAGTAGTGTGGGTACATTCCAATTTGCATACGTACGCACTATTTTATGCCATTTTGTAGTATAAATAGCATGAGTTCACACTGAAAATTCCAACAAGAAGTGTACTTCAAATACTTGTAAATGATGCACTGTTATTTACCTGAAAAAATTGTTTGGAATGTTGGACACTTCATGCACTTAACGGTCACATTTAATAATGTAGCGGAGGTGGACGGGCTCCAATGCTGGATAGCAAACTACCAGTTTAAATGTCATACACTAGAGTACATAGAGTACAGTAGAGTACATACAGTAGTGCACACTTCAATATGGCAAACAAGCATTTTTGTTTGAAGGTACCTCATAAGGAAAGAGAAGGGCTTTTCATATTTTGAATATTTTACAATTAGTTATAGTTATATAGTTAACAATTAATCCTGGGTATTCATAATCTGATGCTTCACATTGTATATTTTATTTATGGTATCAAAAACCATGATTGGATAAATACAGTGTGCAAAATACAGTGTGACTTCCAAGTCACTGTACTGTAACATCATGTCTAATGATCCAACAACAAATTCAAATGATATTTAGAAAGAACCAAGAAAATATTTAATGTATACAATACCCATTTTGCAGTAGAAACTGAATCAAATTTATATATACTCTAATTTTCTTCTTGCAGTCACCTCAACAGATCAGTTAAGGAAATGTTATATGTCAAAAACCAACCAGGGGTGCGTTTCCCAAAAGCAACTATGGTGACATGGTTTTATGTTTACGCGGCGCGATGCAACGCAACGCGTAAAAAGACAGTATAAGTCATTATAATCCATAATTATGTCCCCACTGGATGCAACGAATGCCTCGTTTATAATGGGTTTTAAATGTTTTTGAATCATCGCTCCAGCCTGACAGGGCATCATCAAAATATGGTAAGGGGCGTAACATTTCCGTCACACGCTTGAGGTATTCGGCCAATCACAGCACACCTTGCTTTTCAGACCGATGAGCTTTGTAAAAATAGACGCGTTTCAGAAAGGCGGGGCATAGAGGACAAACAATAAATGTACAGTATGTGGAAAATAATGTGTTTTTTGAACCTTAAACCGCATAAACATTTCATTACACCAAATAATGTTCTTTTTAGCAACATCATATGACCCCTTTAATAATTGCACAGCAACTCAGATTTGACTCCAGTGTTTGCCCATGTCAGTACAGGACACAACTTAAAAGACACTAAAAGCCTACTGGGGGAATCCATCTAAAGTGCTCTAGCACTCTTGCCGACTTGCTTAAGTAGGCTAGGCCACAAGGGAAATGAGGAGGAGGTCTGTGGTATCATAGACTTAAAAATCTAAAATAAATAAATAAAATACATATCCTCAAATATGTTTTTTGAGGAAGTAGAAGGTGAACCAATCTTCCCATTACCAGAAAACAAATTTTGTATAAAGAAACAGAGACCATTTTGAACCATAAAGATGTTTGCATAGTGACTTAGTGCTTATTTACTCCTCTAATACTCATTTAAACATTCTATCAAGATCTTTTTTGTTACTGTATAATTGTCATGAGAATTAGATATCTTTGATTTTGGAAATGCACAATTCCATGAGAATTAATCAAAGAGGACTATTTAGTCAGTAGCTCAACTTGACATGGTACCAAACTCAACAGGAAAAACAGGCTGTGATGTATCACCACATGTATCCCCAACTAATCTTTGACTCAATAACATTTGAAGTTGCACAAGAGATATGCATGACTGAAGGCGTAATGTTAGCAGCAGAGAAGAAATGACACTGATGTAGGAACCACTGGGGGACATTATTCTTGGCCTGATGACAGACTCTCACCTTGGTATCCAGTCCTGAGATAAAAACTGAGGGCACATTAAACATTCTGCTGTAATAGGTGATCTCTTTAAACGAATAGTCCCTCATGGGCCGCACTATCACCACATCCCCATACCGATGATCAGAGAAACCCTACAAAACAGCTTCATGTTAATAGAAGTAACATTTGGGTTTGTTTTAATCGTCAGACAGCTCGTATCTGAAGCCAGTGCTGCTCTGCGACCCAGAGTGATATTACTGAGTAGTTTGACGGCCAGTCGTGAGCAGCTATCTCCCATCATGACCTTCGAGTAGCCGTTCTCACGGGCAATGTGCAGAATCAGGTGCTGCCTGTACCAATAAACATTTATAAACTGAAATCTTTTTAGCCGGGCATTGCTGAATTCTTGATTATGACTGGCTCAGTGATGTTACTTTGAGGTCAATAGTGGCATTACGCGATCATACATTTTCTGTAGTGTTATTATAGTTAACTAAAGCTAAAACAAAGTGTTAAATTATCTACTAAACCAAAACAATTTTTATTACATAAAATAAAAATAAACAGCTGAAAAACAATATATATATATATATATATATATATATATATATATATATATATATATAAACTTATTTTATTTCAGCTAGTTGCCAAGGCAAATGTTCTCATTTTGCATAGTGACAAAATAATTATTAAATTTTGTAGAAAAATGTACAACTAAAACTAAAAATTGAAACTATATAGACATATAAAACAATACAAAAATAAACTTATATAAAAAGACAAAAATACACATAAAAATAACTAAAACTCTTAATAAATTAATGAAAATAAAATTCTAAATATTAACAAAACATAATAATAGTATATTAATGATACTAAAATAACACTGATGACCACCAAACCATATAACTGACCTTTTTTCCCCTGTAATTTATGGGACAATATTTTAAAACAGGGTGTCCCAAACTGGGGTTTGCAAAAATACAGGGGGTTAATGAGTTGACGATAAGTTCAAAATTAATGAAAACAAATTTTAAATTAAAAATCAAAATAAAACATAGATTTTAGATTTGTTGTGGATCTAAGGATTATGATTCAGACAACAATCTAAGCATGTGGCTTCAAGAGAGAAACCATACATTTGCATTGTTTTATTTTATGATTTAATAGATTTTAAAATAAAGCATCATAGATTTGTGAACATGCGAATGTGTTGTGAAAGTATTAAAATATAAAAATCTCAGGGTAATTTCAAGCATATATTTTAGGTCAAAGGGATTTGGCTGACAAATAAAAGTTTGCAAAGCCCTGTTCTAAAATATAAAATTCCACGTAGGCATTTCTGTTAACACATTTAAGAAATTCCTGAATTTGTATTTTGAACCTACTATTTTTCTAAAAAGGTTAAACCAGACAAGTCTCTAAAATCTCTTAATGCGGTCATACAGAAAAAGAGAGGAAGAAAAAGGGTAGCGAAACTCCCCAACTGACATGGCCCAAATAGACTAAACGGTCTAAATAAAAAGTGGCTAAAAACAACATTACTATATAAAATGCTTCGTATCTTCCAGTAAAATCATTGTGAACGAATACTCAATACATTGCCTAAACTTATTTTTCATACTGCAGTGGATAAGCCAGTCACATCTCTTCTAGATCACTTCAGTTGGAGAGCTTAATATTTAAAAGACACATTTTAGCAATATCAGTCTAACTTCATGCAAAAGTGATCAGAAACAGGAAGAGTGAAAGGGTGCATGATGCAAAGAAAGACTATGAAAGCATCAGGAATGTAGCAAAAACAGCTTGAGGAAGATGACTCAGCTTTTCATTTTGTCATTATATAAAAAAATAAGTAAAACACAAAAGTGCTAATACATCTGTAGGATATCAGACCGAATCAGACAATCTAAGATTTGGTCAGAACCGAGTTGAGGCACGAGGAGTCACAAAAATTCCACAGAGGCCCCAGACAACAGGATGTCATAAATCAGACCCTAGCCCTTCTGAAGCAAGCCTAAACCTAAACCCCTGTCACAGAACAGTTTTCAACATTAACACAAAAGAACACATTGACACTTGTGTCTTTTTTAAAGACGCTACTGCCTGTAAATCTACTCATAATTTAAAGGGGTGGTTCAGTGTTTTTTTTCTAGGCTTGATTGTGTTTATGGGGTGCAGTTTAACATGTGTTAATGCTTCGGGTTTTTTTTAAACATTTTTTTTCACATAATTTACATTTATTCCACACCACTCTGTCCCGTCTCTGAGAAACATGCTGATCATATCCTTCTTTTATGAAGCCCCTCCCTCAGAAATAGGCGATGGGCTCTGATTGGTTAGCTAGCCCAGGGTGTTGTGATTGGCTAAACCACCTCTAGTGCCCCCGTCCCGCCCCTCACCTCAGCGGCATGTGCTCCGGTTGTATTGTAAACAACGGTGTCGTTAATATCGTTTACCAGTTTGAGTCTGATTGAGAAGCAGAGGATATTATTGAAGAGGATCGTGCACAACCTGTGCAAGCACGGATTTTAATGGTAGGCCTATGTTTTTTGTTGTCTCATACTTTTAGATACGCTGTTATTTGTAAATGCTATTGCTTATGTTAGCTTTTAATATACGGTTTTATCCTGATTAAAGCTTTAATATAGTATGGCAACTGCACGCGCGTCCATGTTTAACGCTTCTCATAGCTATCTGAATAAGTGTATAATTGTAACCGTTCATTGTTGGAGCTGAGCTGAATGAGAGAGAGAGCGATGCAGAGTGTGTGCAGAGCAGGGGACGTGAGGAACAGTATTAAGAACCGCTGCTTTAGAACATTGATTTTGAAACTTGTGAATCCATTAGAATCGTTAGAAGACAGAATTGCGATTCATATATGAATATATTTTTACGTGCACCTCTAGTTTTCTCTTCCTCTTCTCTAAAGCAGCGCAGCATGGCCTCGCCCCCTTTGCTGCCTTTTCCCGAGGTTGGGGTTTATCTGGGTTTGTGATGTCACGAACCCGGAAAGTAACTCATTGTAGTCCCTACCAGCCGTTTTTGTAGGCATTAAACTGCCAGAATTTTAAAAGACGATATCTCCATTTGCATTGAACTGTCAGCTTCGTAACTTTGCAGATATTGTTTATGCTCAAACAGCATAAAATACAGCTTAATAGTTATTATACAAATTTATACAACAGCAGAATGCAGAAACTGACCCATTAAAATGAAGTATTACACAGTGTCCGAACCAGATGTGATGATAAAAGTTATCTTTTCTATGTTAATCAGATTTTTTGTACGAACCAGCAACAGCGATACACAACGACCAGCTAAAAGCTCAGATACTGATTGCGTTTTGTCAATTTAAATATTAAAATCATTTAATTTGATTTTGATCATTATTGTCACTATCATTATGGCTATTAAAACCAGGCACAATGGATAATTGATCTCAGATCTTGAAAATAACTTCAAGGACTCTATGTGAACAAACAAGTATAACGCTGCCTGCCAGCATGCTCTTCTGATTGGCTGTGATTTGTTATTGATTTAGTAGTATCTTGCAGCTGTATCTTATCACATTGCAACTGTGCATCATCATTTTGTGCTTTTCATTTCTGATGCAGCATTGGGCAAGCAACTTTGCTCAATTTAAAATAGTCTCAGAGTTGTATTTATATGGCTCAAAATCAAGAAGGATCTCTTTAAGTGTAAAAGCATCAAAGGTGAACAAATACACTTAATACAACTAAAAGAGCATTAACTTAATTAAAAGCATAGCGACAAAATTATTACTTAACTTTGTATAAAAATATGCATTTGTACATAATGTAGTCAAATGTTGTACAGGGTTTTGTGAAATGATTCAGTGAAATTAGCTCTTTGAACAAATAATTTGCTAAAATGAATCAGATTTACGAACAGTGCGCTTGATTACTGCCTCACTCGAAAAGGAAAGAAAATAAAAGAAGAAAAGTTTGCTGTAAAACCCACCTTAAGGTCTGTAACATATCCTCTTTGGCTATGAGTATCTTCAGTGATGAGAACAGCCTCTCTACTGCCAGCTTGTGTTCGGGTGAATATGCAGAGTCCTCTACACAAATGAACTAAACCAAACTAGAAATGCAGAGACTGCTGGAAGATAGTACTGTAGCTTGTTTTACGTGTTTCTAGCTTGTTCTGAATGATAAAGCAATCAGACTATACGTTTTTATGGTCACTGTCAACCTGTCAAATTATCCTGGTCAAGCAATTTAGAGATGGTAGACCACTTTGAATTATATGCAAAGAAGCTAGTGTTCCAGAAACTTCTGGAGAGCAAGAAAAAACTGTGTATTTACCTCTTGAACTTGTGAGAGCATCGAGTAAGAGGCTGTTCCACCAGAAACAGCAAGAAGAACCTAAGAAGAGCAATTAGTGTGAAGGCCAGTGAACAAACAACTCATTTAAATTCAACTGAAACCGAGGAAACGATGTTGCGCCAGTGTAGATGTTGAAGGATCTAAGGGTTATGATTCAGACAACAATCTAAGCATGTAGCTTCAAGAGAGAAACCATGCATTTGCATTGTTTTATTTTATGCGTTTCAAGCATTTTAACTCCATTTACAGGTTTCTCACTCTTTTTGGCCAATGAATTCCCATTGACGTGTCCTTTTCAGTCATTTGTGATTACTGGATTAGGATTTTTTTTTAAATAATCTTGATTTGCTAATGAGTCCTTCAGATCGTTTTGTGAACCAATTGAATTGAATAATTGAAAATAACTAATTAAACATCACTGTGACTCCTGTGAAACTCTTGGGGATAAAATAGTTTGGAGCGGAGCATAACTATAAAAAAAATTAAAGCACTTAATTATTAATAATTCCCTGATATTCTCAGGTTTTTCAAATAATGTGGGACTCATTTCAATTCCACTGAAACTGAGGAAGTCAAGAGACATACTATCTCTATATTACTTTTTATATCTGCCTTCTCATGGGGAAAGATGACACGATTATTTCCCAACATGGCCCGCAATTTGTGTATGAAGTACTCCTTGAAGCAGGACCCAGTAAACATACAGACACGTTTTTTGACGAGACTGCATCACATAATTAATTGCAAGTGACACATTGATAAGATTAACGAATCGTCAATTCATTGACACGAATGAGCACAGCAGTTCCCTCCTTACATTTAATACATTTCCTGTTAAGCCTGAAACATATGTCCCACATAAAGAAGTGTGTGCAATTTGTCAATAAGTACAACAAAAATGTGAATCACGGGAGTACTGTAGTATTCTTTTAGTCCCACGGTAATGTGCAAGAATATGGTTGTGATTCAGTATCACGCCGTGTATCAAAGTACCATCACTTTACCATGGTACACTATGCACATTATGTTTACAATAAAGTACTGTGGTAGTGGTACAATTATAGAATCATATCGGCAGTGACATGGTATAATTATCATCATATATATCCAAAACATTTAATACCATCGTGGTTCTTGTATAAATAATTGTTGTCACACAGCGGTTGTTCAATTCAACTCACGTCGGCACAGGTATCTTCTCCTGCTTACACTCCAGACCATTATATTCCTCTTCAGCTTGACACATGGCCGCTTCAAATTCACAACCTAAGTGCAAAGACAAAACAGGTCCAACCGTACGAAGCTTGTTTTCACGTGCGTGCGTGTGTGTGTGTGTGTGTAGTTTATGTTCCTGACTCCTTTTGATGACGTCCCGTGACCACGCCCATATGTTTGCGTGTCGTTTGATTACTTCGACGTTATTTACGCTACTTTTACGCTTTATTTCCACATCGTCTGACATTAATGGTTTAATGTTATCTGTTGTCTTAATGTATGATGTTTATTTGTATATTTATGTGTAAACACCATGTATACATACAACAACTTCTTGATTTGGAAAAACAGCAAAGCAAGCGCACTGGGTAAGTTTGTAAGTTATTATCTTTTTTGTCAAATTATTTATACAACTATTTATTTTGTGTATCGACATTAAACTGTTATGTCATTCGTATGACATTTGTATATAATTCAAAAGGTAACAAAATATTAAAATGCGAGTTATTGATTACGTTTCATGTTATTTTAGCTATAGTGTAACGTTACATGTATCGTCTGACTTTAATGCATATTAAAGAGTTAGCGTTTTCAGTCAAAAAGTAATGTTCAAAATAATTGAATCACGATTTTATCATATACAAACAATATTATTAATTCCTATTGTTATTGACAACGTAGACCTATTTGTCACATTCATGTTGACTCCATCTATCTACGATCCGTGGAATTGCTATGAATGCAACATCTGGGAAATGTAGTTATATTAAACAGCCCCTCTGGAAAATGATCGCTACAAAAACTACAACTCCCATCATTTTGTTGGTCTAATCGGATCGAGACCGTTCGGTTAAAGCTACCATATAATGTTTACTTCTTTGGAACAACGGCGTGTCCTCCTTGGTTAACACTGTTGGAGATCGCAGATGCGGTATCTAATGTCGTGTAAATCACACTTTCCCTGCGAGACATTCGTTAAAACCACGGAATCCTATTTGCATCGGAAGTATTAGTTCATCCTGCGGTCTGTGTTCATGATGGCGATGTTCCGCAGTTTTGTGTCTGCTGCTCAGCTCAGGCAGCATCAGCAGCAAAATGGAGCCGCAGCAGCCGCACCTGGGGAAAGCCTGGAGAGCCAGTTCTCTTGTCCCATCTGTCTGGAGGTGTACCACAAACCTGTCAGCATCGCAAGCTGCGCCCATACGTGAGTATAGTTCTTTAATTTCCATTTAGTGTCTGTGTTGTAAAACATATTTTTTTTGAGTGGTCACTTTGCATTCATGCATGTACACTTCCTACAGAATGTGCGTTAATTGCACAAATATTTAACGATGTGGAGAAAAAAAATCACCAATCTCATTGTTTTAGAGGACAGTAGATTAAATCCCGCATAACCACACACGCTTTCAATAGGAGTTTAATCAAAGTCCCTTTGTATTTCTATAGTCTTTGTTTGAATTATTTTATTGAAGATAAATTCTGTAACGTCACTCTTTAAAGATGAAACACTGTTTGCATCCCTTTGTGCTTGCACGACTCCAAAATCACGTTTCTTTGTCAGCCTTGTGACATAAAAAGGATTCATTGATATTGTCATCTTTTAATTAGTTTATGCAGTTTATGAGCTTAAAATTTTCTAAAACATTTCGATAAAAAAAGAAAAAAATATTAATCATTAAGTTGGGGTTTTTAAGTTTCTGTGTGCTGCGCAGCAGAACAAAGCGAGAAAGCTGCGAGCGATATTTCATAGCGATGTCTGTTTGGGTTCTTTTGAAGGAATCGCAAATAGGACTGAATCGGTCTGAACCGAGTATGAGTTATCGACTGAGCTTATGTTCGTTTTAATTTGTGTGCGTTGGTTGGGAGCACAGCTGGGTTTACTGTAATTAAAATGGCAGTAGTTGATATTCGGTTATTGTGTTTGTAAAAAGCATCTATCCTGGTTGGAGTGGGACACTTTTGATGCAAAACTTGTTGGTAACACGAGGAGCTCAAACAAAGCGTTCGTGTTTTTAGAACCAGAAATACGCTTGACAGGGTGCTTACGTGACATTTAAACGATCACTATCCCCCACCCCGAATTCTGAAGTGAATCACTGAATCGGTTCCTGAAACAATTCATTCTGGCGAACGTTCAAAAGAACCGATTCACTAAAAAGAATTATTTTTCGACATCAATACCCCGTTTCACGCAAGAGACTGTGAATACACTTCACAGCAATGTTCTGAAAGTCTCTTACAGCATTAAAATAATGCTCTGTAATATACATTTTTTTGCTGATTTATCTTTTCATGAGTTAAGTGAATGCATTTAGATTTTATGTAAATTCTTAATAATGTTTACATTTTTATTTATTCATTTCTAAGTAATGTTTACATTTACATTTTACAATGTTATAGCAGGTATTATGAACTAGGGATGCAACGATTATAGATTTTGTTGGTACGATTATTGTCTGAGGAATAATCACGGTCTTACGATTATGACGATTATTATGCATTTATTCATTTCCCAAAATTACTAATGTATAAAATCACATGAACACTCTTTAGATATTAAAGTGTTATTTATTGCTGGCTTTTGAAACAGAAATAACACGGTAACCAACAATACAGCACAAAATAATAATAAACAAAAGGCAAACAAAAGTTCATCTCTCCCATTGGAATTAAAAAAAGGTGACCTCTGCTCTGTAAACATCCATGACAGTATTTCTCTTTTGAAAATAACAAATGGAAATAGATCACAAAAGTATTGAATGTTTTCAGTTTGTACGTTCTTTGCATTTCTTTTGGACCTGGGGTAGAGAATTTGGAAACATGGTGAAAAAAAAATCTTGTTGGTTTTTTCTTATGAATAATACTACAACAGGGATAGTAAATAAAGTTAATTAAGTAGCCTATTAGTAATATACGACTAATATTAACTTTATTTG